ATCACGCATATATGTACTTAATAAAGGCGCATCCGGTGAGTTGGCAGGAAAAAGACCAGAATAGATGTGATATATTCTTACCTTCAATTGAAACTCCATTGTGCATCAATTAACTACCACGTCGATGACGGTCCATACTGAAAACAAGACAAGTGCCGCGGAGCGACAGCGCTCATCTAACGTCTACTGCGGGATCGTTATGAAAGTTGCCACGAGATGGCGTGTACGTTTAAGTGTCTTCAGATTAAAGATGAAAGCTCCCATCGTACGTAGTAGCAACAACTATTTGCAAGACAGAATAGGTAAGCACGCATCCATTTACCTACGCAAGCCTACAGGCTGAAATAGAGAGCTGCCACCTGTAACTAATTAACGCAGGCAAAAACTACACAGTACCACCACCACATGCACTGGCAGTGGCATACGTTACATGTAACACACTGACAGTACAGAATGCCATAGAAATTATACGATTTAAGGAGCATAAACCTTCTTCAACCAAATTTAAGCATTTTGAGAATTTTCACTGTGACATTGTAGCCTCATACTGCCAGGCTGGTATAGTATTCTACTAGCAAACCCGGCAGGTCAAATTCTTTTCTAACAGTAAAAAATCGTCATGTTTTAACCGCCGCCTCTTGAGGGTCAAACGGTTATACCAACACTCTTCGCATGTCAGCGGAAAGTACATTTCATGGTCCTTTCAATAAAGCCAGATCACTGCTGAAACAAAAAAGTTTTTCAATCGCTCCGTCAGACCATGTCCTCAGAAAATGTCTAAAATCTGCCCTGTGCCCATTGACCTTTGACCGTGACCTCCGATTTCGGCACAGTGATGGCTTTTCCTACCATGATGCTATACACCGACTATCACGAGCCTAGGTCGAGCCGTTTAGATTTGTGCCGCAATTCTGCATTTCCTCCCTATACCTTAAGTTAAGGAAGGAATGTTCCCCCTTCTTTTACACTTCTTGACCTTTGACCTATGACCACCAGCTTCGACATCCCAACTCGTTTTCGGATTACCCCCCAAGTCCCGAATATCGTGACCGTACGTCGAGCGGTTAAGTTGACGCACGCACGCACGCACGGACGATCATGCGATTATACAAGCTGCATCTGACTACGTCAGATGAGCTAAAAAAAGACGAAGACGAACAATTGACGAAATTTGTGAATTGTCAATTGAAGCCAACAGATTAACGAAAAACTTCTGAAACATTTATATATCTAACTCTATATAATAATCTTGTACAATCTTAATAGAACAGGCGTTTACAAAAAACGAATAGAGAGTTGTATTTCATTTCCCAGCTATATATGAATTGTAAAATGTAACAGAATTGCCGTAGCATGCGTATTTGTACTTACAAACGAAGCGCATCCGGTGAATTGGCGGGAAAAAGACCAGTCAGCTGGTATATATAGCTTCACGTCATACTAGCTACTAGCGACTTCTATTTGTCAAGATTAATGTTACCAAAGATTAAATGCTAGACTACATATGTTTTGACTAGACTACATATACTTTTATTGAAATAATCTATAATATATTATACATTGTGCAATTTGTGGTTGCTTTTGTGGTTGCCATCACGCCTGTCTCCAACAAGTTGTCATTTCCGTCTTCTCTGCATGAATTTCCTCCTGTCGTAATTCTTAATTCCTTCCTTTGTCTTTAACTTGTCTCTATTTCTTCTAGCTATTATTAATTTTTGTAATCGAAATTGGACAACATTACTTTTTTGACACTGCATAATAAAGAGGTCTTTTCTCACAAATATAAAACAAGCAAGGGGCACACCATGCACTAGCATACGCGCACATACACACATGACGCTGGCACAAGCACAGGCACACGCAATCACGCACACTCACGCACACACCAAGCGCGCTACTTTCCTATATGCTTTAGGTGTAGTTTTCGCTACAACACTCTATATAAAACAGTATACAGTATTTTAGAGCACGTGTACGTAGAACGGGTTTATTTGAATTTTGTGAAAACAAACTGTACTTGGGCTCCTTTCTCACTTCCCTAACTTGAAATTTTTTCACACTCAAGAACACAATTATATATAGATCGATATATATATATATATATATATATATATATATATATATATATATATATATATATATATCAAGAGTACATAATAGAGATTATCTATTATGTACTCTTGATATGTATATACGTTGTATTTTATGATTCTATGACTACTATACCCCTGGACAACTACCTCCCGGAAAATTGCCCCCCTAGGACAACTACCACCCGGACAACTACCCCCTAGGGCAATTACCCCCCCCCTAGGAAAACCCTAACCTTAGGGGGATAGTTGTCCGGGTGGCAGTTGTATGGGTGGGAGTTGTCCTAGGGGGGTAATATTGTCCGGGTGGTAGTTGTCCGGTGGCTAGTTGTCCAGGGGGGTAGTCGTCCGGATACGGTATTTTATGTCTACAGAGCAGATTAATGACAAGACTTCCATCACCCCTAAAAATGCATTTGATGGATGACAAATAAAGTTCTACTGGACACACATACGCACGCACACGCACAACAACAACATCAACGCACACGCACACGCGCGCATACACACGCACGCGCACACGCACGCACGCACGCACGCACGCACGCACACACGCACGCACACGCAAACATATATATACAATATAGTGATATGAAAACAGGTTCTGGTTGGGTAAGAAGTGATCATTTATCCGCGGTAGAAATCACGTGTGAAATCACGCGTTACACAACTAATTTATAAATTACAATTAACAAAGTATTAACGTCGCGGTTAAATTATGTGTGACAAGGTTCTGATTGAGTGAAAAAGGCTCTAATTTTACCGAGGTCGAATTACTTCTACCGCGGTAATAAGAATTATTTCTGAGAACGATGACCAACCATACCCGCCGAGTTCTCGATTTGGCCCCAATAGGATTACGTGGATTAAGAGAGGGAGTAAGCACCCGACGGACACATCCATAGAAATAGATATACACTTGTTTCTATGGGGGCATCTCTGCGTTCGACGCTGTGGCCCGTGTGTGGGTGCAAACAGTGCTCTCGTAGTCTTTCGTAAATCTCACGTAGATCTTTTCCCGCGGCATCCTACAACACACTTGCGCTTACGACTCGGCAAAATCATCGCAAAAAACGTTTATACATAACTGGAAAAGAACAAGCACCAACTTGGAATGACAGCCATTTGAACTGTCAACGACAATTTATTTACGTATTATTAAAAAAAAAACATGTCAATTACTCGCGCACTACAATATTTTCTAGCAACAAATTTCCGTCACATAGTTAACGGGTGTGAGCAAACCTAATAAAAACATTAGATATAAATAGTCATTTTATACGCTCTACGAAAAGCCTTGATACTGCCGAATTACCTTGAATTACTACAGACAATCGGCTTTACAAATACTGACCGCAATGTCATAACGTAAGAAATTTCGCTAAGAAAATATACCAGAAAATAGGAAGTCCCCAGGAATAGTAAGGACTGATACTATCGTTTAGAAACAAGCAAGTAGTAATAATTAACGATCGACAAAATTTTGCGTTAATTCCTCGCCAACCCAGGTGTTACTTTCATGTAATATCTACTGCTTGGCAAACCCACTGGAATGATTACAGACTACGATGAAAAAAATTGTCGCGCTTTTTGCCAGAGTGCACACAACTTGTTGGGTTTCTACAGATTCTATTCACGCAATAAACATATACTATAGAATTCGGAAATGCCACCGCTAATAATTACATCTAATAGGGAAAGTTTAGCAGGTTGAAGGGCGGTCCGTAGCAACAGACCTTGAGATGGTGGATGAAGTATTTTTTTGGGGGGGGGGGGGGTTAAAGAAGCGGTGGTAAAAAACGTGTGACTCTATAGTATAATCTCACGTATATAACATGGTATTCTCAGGAGTGTATAATATAGATTTATAGATATATATCATATGTATATATATATATGTATATATATATATATGTGTGTATATATATATATATATATATATATATTATACACTACTGATATTAACTATTGTATATATTGAATTGTATTGTTTAGCGAAACCACGGCACGTTACAAATTTAATTCCCACTTGAACAAATACTTTGCAAATACCGTGGATACACAAAACTACCGTTAGCACACCTGTGGTTGGCGAATGATGTATAGGAAGTATGATGAGTACCATATCTACCAGTAAATTAATGATATACTCATGAGCTGTATTGTACATTCATATCTCATTACGAGTTTAGTTATGTTTATAAATATATGCTTCTATCCGAATCACGAGGCATGACTCAACCTACTGTCAGTGTAACAATATTTAATCAGGTTAAGGCCTAAACAGTTTACAAATCAAAAGCACATAATAGAAAATTGGGAGAAATACGCTACGCATTAACTGAGATGGGGACTGGGAGAATGAAGTGATATGAATCAAACACGTTTGAAAACTACTTGTGGAAATAAATAACAGGGATAGATGTCTACGAAGATTCTACCAAAATAGAACGGTATGTACTTTTCATTTCGTTTCACAAGATACACAGAAGAACTCCGGGTGGGGGCAATATCACACAGTTTCATTATCACTCACAATATTAATGTTCAACGGATCTATCATATCGTATAAGAAGAAGCACCATATAGGAATCTGTACATCACCATACACGCATTTGTACTTCGTTACAGCTCCTCCTCTTTGAACCAATGTCGCACAAGTCTAAATGGCTGGTAAAACCGTACGAATACGTGTTGAAAACAATTAAATACGATATATATATATATATATATATATATATATATATATATATACT